AAAATTCCCCTGCAGAAAATTTCCCATTATTATAAATTTTTCAATTATGTTAAAGAATAGCACTTTAGTCTTCTGTCAATGACAAAATGTAAACAGCACAGTAAAGTTCTAGTTAGATACACCAACATTTACCTTCTAAACAGTGCTCTCTACTACAACTTTGTAAAAGTGTCATGAACATCATGAAACAAAGATTACAAACCTTTTGTGAAAAAACAACCATATTCCTAACATAAACGTAAAAAGAAAAAATACAATTGGAATTTATCTAAAATTGCCATCATCACCAAAAAGCAGAATAACCAACTTCAAATATTACTATGATATTTTTCATATTTTCCAGGCTATCAGGTTCATTATCAGGTGCACCTGCAGACAAGCAAATTAGCTCTGCATTTAAAAAAAACTTCCTGATGCAAAAGCCCTTTAATTCCAGTGAAACCCAAGCAATGATTTAAAGAAGAGGGTTTTTTTGGATGCCTAATTATGCAGATAGTCCTGACAATTTTCAAATTCCTCAAAAGAGCACCCTTCACATAATGATCCTAGTGACCTCACATGTGTCTAAATCTTTAAAAAAAAAAAAAGTTATTCTGGTTAAAAAGCAGCCTCGTGGGTTTATAATCTGTGTCAACTGTTAAAGAACACTGTATTCAGAGAGATCATGAGCTCATCACAGGTTCTGGCACTAACAGCAGCTGGTGGCAAGGGAAAATACCTTCACAATGTTGTCTGTGAAAGATATTCAATCAGACTCCACCAAACTTTTGAACCACAAAAGGCAGTAAGTTGCATGAGCCTAATAACACTTCATATCTGTGTTTGAAAAGCACTGGTATTCTAACATAGAGCCAGACACAACGTACCCACTGGTATCCACTGCGTCACACCAGACTGACCCAAGCAGCTGAACTTAGCAACAATCTTTAACTGTGGAGCTGTTACTGAGATGATTAGTTACAACAGCTCTAAGAAGGCAGATCATTTCACCAGTGTGGATCTGTGTAAGATCAGAGCCTGAACATGTTTCTTCCCTTCATCTGGCCTCAGCTTCAGGAAAAAACATGCTTCCCTCACCCCATCCCACTCCCCATGTCACTGGACATTAAGCATATGTCACCTCACTTTTGGAAAGCATTGCATTATTTAACTTCATTACTGTTTGCTGAATTGCTTTCAACCAGTTCTCACCTGGGAAAAACTTTTAAGAGCATTAATACGGTACACCATTCAACTCCACCATATGTGAATCCTGTGAATCAGTAGCAGGACGTTACTTATGGAAGGTGACCGGACGCAGAGCAGTGGCTCGCTTGTCCTCCCCTACACACTTCTCTAACTAAATTTGCTTCTATCCCTCCAGTCACCAGAGAGCCCTTGCCTTCCCTGCAGAACAGTGTCTACTACCTCTCTCCATATTGCTTAACCCCCCAGAATTAACTCTGACCTTTCTGCTCAGCCTGGAGGAACTTGGGCCATAGTGCCAGCAAAGGCACTGCTGAATCTTCAACCACAGCTGCTGCAGCACTTCAAAGGCAGCTACCACAGCTAAGGATTTAGGCTGCAGCTGGAATCCGGAGGCTTGACGTGGGGTCCCCAGGGCTGAAGGAAAAGAGCAAAGCTCATTTGTAAGGATTAAAACTTGGACAGGTAATGGATCTCAATGGGGCAGGAAGGGTAGGGAAAAGCAGAGAGAGTGGAAGTCAGTATACAATACAAAAAATCTGAGGAGGTTAAGAGGGGCAGCAAAAGGAGGGGCTGGGGGCATGGAAGACCCAAGATTCCTGGTTAGTGTAAATAATATACATGTACATTAGGGAGGAAGAATGAATGCAGTGTGGAAATGTAAACAAAAATATCTTCAGAGAAGGTAGGCCTTTAACATAGCAGTTGGTGAAAAGATCAATGGGAATAAAACACAAAAGGATGTACAAGTCAAAGGCAGCCAGAAAAACAGGCACTGAGCATAAAAAATCGTGATGAGATCGAGACATAAAATCCATCTAAAAATGAGCTTGAAGTGGGACATGTGTAACATCTTTCATACTGCAGGATTACCCCAAATGCAAAGTTTTTTATTATTCAGGGTAATAACGGGCTCAGCATATTAACTCATGAAAAAGCACTGTCTTTTGAAAAGTAAAATTACAGAAGTTTTTAAGGGAAAAGCACTGTTGGGTCTTTAAGACCATGCTACATATTACTTGAGAAGCAGGACTATGAAGTCAAGAGTTGAACATACGGGCAGCTTTCAGGGCAGAAACACAACAGAAAATCTGAACGTTCAAAAAAACTTTCCACCTGCTTTGGACGCCATAAATTCGTGAAATTTACCAACTACTTCAGAAAAACTCTTTGAAGAGAAGTTCTCATCTGGTGGTAGTGGAAGAGAATTCACCTTACAGTTGCAGTTAACTATACGGTAAAGCCAGGCAGTGGGACATGAACTCCATGGGACAGGAGCAACAACAGACTGTAAGCCCAGAATAAATAATTTACTGCAAATTCATACCTACCTTAGTGTAGGATAATTTCTCAATATCTTAGCTGCTTTCTCAGAATTCCCACATATGAATGATAAAATATTACACACTAAGTCATACCATGGAGTTATAAAACCATGTGGCAAGCTAACAAATCACACTTTTTTGCCATCTGCAATCTTTTTTTAACATGGTTAAAATAGTTCAACTATTTTATTAAGCCACTAATTGTTTAATTGTTCCAGTTATTAAGCTTGAACAGTTTAATAGGAACATTCACTTGAAGAACCTCGTAATTTTCACTTGTGATATATAAGCTTCCTTCACAGCCTCATTAATTTTCTGAATCTCCAAATGTTTTCTTGTAGTTATAAGAAAGCACACTCTAGAGTTTAAATAGGAAAAGAATTCTAGTTTGGAATTGAGATAGCTTAATTTTTTTTTCAGTCCTTAGCTTTCTGTTCAGATGTGCCAGCAGAGAACTGCATGCCTAAGAGACTGCTAGAAAAGGAACGGAGGAGAAGTGTACAGACAGCTTTTTATTTGTCATTTACTCTGAATTAGAAAGAAAAGAGTACCAGGAGAAAAGTCATTCTGTTAATTATTTAAAGTGACCGATCCTAATTGATCTATCAACAGTTTCTAATGCATGTTGAATATATCACTCAACATTTACAGACCAAACTGTTGACTGAGATTCATCCATATTCATAAAGACATATGAGCTCATCTATTACTGTAAGAAGTGATGCTGCTGTAGTAATAAAAATACACAAAAACACTAGCATTTTTTAGAGCATCCATAGAGACAACTTCAGACTTCAAAGAAGTAACTATTTTTATAACAACTTTATTTCAAGCACTGTTTCTCACTGGATACAATTTATACATTTTATGCTAGGTATATATATTAATGGAATACTTTAGAAATTATCCTTAGATAAAATATATTACATGATTAAAATTATTCCAGCAATAGTTTTTCCAAGTTACATTTTGCTGAGTCTTAGTTCAGATCACAGGAGAAAAAAATATTAAAAATGCTTTGGCAAAATACCCTTCCATAGTAATGTCTGTAAAAGCATTTTGAATGCAGGGCTGTTTCATCCATTTTTATTCTGGTATCAGTCAAATAGACAGGAGGAAACATATAAACAGTTATACCATTATACAGTTTTATTTAAATATAATTTAAAAGAATATAGATCTTAATTTTTCAAAATATGTGTTCTCACATTTTAATTTCAGTCAGTCAAAAAACTGGCTGATGCTTCCTAATGCACAACGGCGCAACACCCTTCTGAAACCTCTAATTGCGTTGTTGCGCTGGTCACTGTTAAAACAAAATTCTGGGTAATCCCAGAGCCTGTGTCAAGGCAGGAGGACTGCAGAGGTATCAAACCAGAGAAGAACAGCATGGTCATTGAACTGCACACATGGAGCTTCTAGGAGGATTAATGGATCTCGTCACAGGCTCCTGACTGTAGTTGACAATATCTGCCTTCACCACCCTCTGTCACAAAAGAAAACACAGTAACAATCAGAAAATACTATCTTCAGGCTGGCAAAGCATTCAACGGATATTTTAATATGAAACATGAAGGAAAAATAACAGATAAAACAGGAGGTTTGTCCTTACCCTACAGAAAGTCTTATCAGGTGCTAATTCTCATTCTATCAGTTTATCCATACTAAGCAAAAGCAATTGCCTTGGTAGGTTTTCACAACATTACAAATGGAACATGACTTTTTTGCCAAACAGTAAAGACAGTTCTACTTTCATGAAAATTCTTTCGTATGAAAATAATAAAACTATTTGTTTGCAAAGATGGTGTCATTTGTTCTTTAAGAATAACTGCTTAAATTGTAATTGGAAATTGTACCTAAGTTTTTGTTTTTGTCTTTACTCAAAGCACTTCACCAGAAAATATGGATAGAATTCAAAGAATATTTCAAATACAGACCTGTTTCACTAAAACCTTTGACAAGCATACTGGCTAAAGACTAAATTAACATAAAAAGAAGCTCTCCATACCATAAATATGTATTTTCCAATACAGATACAACAGATACTACCCATACTATTTACAAAGCAATTGATAAGACTAATGGTCTCTCCTACACGAGGAGAAGGAAATGAGAATATTTTCTGTCCATCTCCATCTGAGACAGCTATGCAATACTTTGAATGCACAGCACTGAATACAGTAACACAAAGTATTTCAAGGTTTCTATGAACTATCTGGTTATTAGAAACACTGTGTAATTAATTGCACACAGAGTTCCAAAGTGCTTACATATATAAAACATAATTTTCCAATAGAACTTACTGTAACACTTGTTCCTTCACGTAACAGCAACGCACTTTATAAAAAGAAACCACCCAAGTTTTCCATCAATACCTGAACTACTGCATTGAGCAGATTTTGCTCTGGCAGTTGGAAGTGTTCTGAGGTTGGTTATCTTCTTCAGGATATTTCACTAGTTCTGCCCTGACAACATGCTGTTAACCATGTATCAACATGATGGATAGAGGGCAAGGAGAAGAATGTAAAAAGAAAAGAGAAGGAAAACAATGGAGAGATTAATCAGAAGTTGAAAAGTATGAATTAATAACACAAGAAGACTACGCAGAAGCAAAATGAATGCATTTTCTGGCCTTAGGTTGATATAAGAGCAACATGTCTGGCTGAAAGCAGCTCCAGGGCTGCTCCTCAAGCTTCTCCAAGGAGATGCCCTTTCAAAGCACCGAAGCGAAAGGTCCATGCAATCAACAAAAGTGTATTAAATGGCAAGAGAAGGGACAGAATTAAAAGGCAGGCGATTCAGTGGGAGAAAGATGACAATGGCCTATTCCTCCTTTAAGTCTAAGATAAATACTACATTGTCAGCTTGTAACAAGTGCAGTAGCCTTACACAAGCAACTTTTCAACTTTTTAAGTGACGCAACAATTACATTATACCTAAAATTATAATCCAAACCAGGGAAATAAATTAACAACCTCACTTCCTCCACGCTTTGATTTTGTCTTTACTTCATATAAAAGTAAAAGGTTCTCATTTTTATAAAAGATTCTCATTTTTCCCCTTAAAGACAAACAAAACTGTTAAAAGCTTTTCATTATTAATGAAAATTCATGCAAAGGGTAGTAAAATTCATGTAACAATTTCAGGAAAGGAGAAGCAGAGGAGGTAGGACTGCTGTGAAAGATACAGTAAACCAGTTTAATATTTTTTTCCTAAATTCTTCAACTTTCATGCAACATATCTTCAAGGATAAAATGAACAAACGAATAAATACTATTATTTTAAAGGAAACAATGTATAAACTGGATTATATGAATATATAAACAGTATATGTTAAAGATTACCTCTGTAAATAAAACCTTTATGTCAAGCAAACAACAATAACTGAATTGTCTGGTAAGGGACCTGGATTTATTAGCTGCTGAAGTACTCTTCTTGAGTCTAATTGATCACATTCATATTATCTTATCTAGTGGACAACACTCATGATTTACTGGACTCCTGGCCCGATGTTATCAAGGGAAAGGTTTCCAAATCCCATGTAAGGCAGTAAGTAGTAGTTTTAGCATTAAACAGTGTTATCTGACCTCACAGGACCTAGTTTCTTCATACCAACCTTTTGACTAGAGCTGAGGGGGAAAAAAAAAAAAAAAAGAAAAAATAGTCTTGCAATCAGTAGGCAATTAATTGTTCCTCCAAACATTGGTCTAAATCCCATCCTGTAAACACAGGCAGGTTAGTGACCCATGCTTAGGCACACTGTAGCGAGAAACAGACTATCATAAATGACTCGGATTTTCTAAAGGAATTTCATCCAAATAAGACTAAAAAAATACCACTGCAACATTTCTTTTATTAACTTCATGGTAATTAAAAAAGTGGGCCTCTTTGCATCAGTTTCTATGTGAGGCGTATCATTGCCATGGTTCAAATCACTGTCAATAATGAGAAATAACCTTTCTTGGTGCAGGTGCTCTGTATTCCAGGTCTGACTTATCTGCCAAACATTTTATTGTACAAAGCTGGCGCACACACACTAATTTGCTGAATTGGCATTTAGTTAGAGAGAAAACTACACATCACTTACAAAAATGCTAGCTCTTGCCAATGCCAAGGAACAAAGCTGTACCCCATGCAGTTTTTACACTACGGTTGAAAGTAAAAAATATAGAAAGAAAAACATTTGATTAGTAAAGGAGCTATTTCCTCAAATTTCATCAGACCCTTTCAATTTAAAAGGGAGAGTATTTTGAGGACTGAAAATAAGTCAGAAACTGCAATTTTCTTACTTTGGAACCGTTCCATTTCAAAAAACATGCTCTGCTTTCCAGTCACGCATAAAGAGTAATCTAGTTCTTTGTTTCACCACAGTTTTGTCCAAATAAAGGTTTGATTAACAGTCATCTCAGCATGTTAACAGACAAGGGTTAGTAGCTCTAGCTGAGACAGTTTAAAAACTTACCACCCTCAAATGTCTGTCCTATTCCTCTGCTGGAGATCATTGCTGCCAAAGGAGAGTTGGTGGAATGTAACATGTACTTGCACCTCATCCACTTCGGCACAAAATCTGGCAGCTTCACTTTGAAACAACTTTCAGCAGCAGTTTAAGCTAAACTGCTCAACTTCACCCTGATGTGGCCAAAGCACATGATCACCTTCCATTTTCTGATTCTGCTGTGGGAGCGATACATTCCAGCAAAAGGGCAGTAGCAAATAGCTTGGGTTGCATTAATATCTTAAACCGCTGCAGCTGCTTTCTAAAACAATGCAGGGTAAATATAACTCAATTTCTAAGGCTTCTTCTTGCAGTTAATTAACAAGTTGTGCTGCTAATTTGAAAGGGACCGAGAATCCCACCCATTTTTCACAAGAGCTTCTGCAGTTCTGCCAGTCGTCAAAGCTCAAAAGTCGTGAGCCAAACTCCACTAATTCATTCAAGTTAAAATAATGGGATTCCTATTACTTATTTCTATCCACCTATGAGTCACATCTAAGATCTTCTTAGTGACTGTGACAGTTGTAATTGATTCTAAAAATGACAAATATGATCTTCAGGCATAAAATCAAGAGTGCTAGAAATAATTTATAAAGCATATTCTCAATACGAGACAATAAAACATGATTCACACAAAGCATTCGACTGTTGGCATTTTACATAAACTCAGTATTTCATCTTATTCTTTGTTATCACCTAGACTGAATGAACATATCCCCACATACTCTGACAAACACATTCAGGCAGCAACCTTCTCAGTTTTCAAAATGAGGAAATCTCGCATTACAAAAAATACAGAAAATTCAAATATAAAATCCAGCATGTAAATTGTGCACATTTATAAAAACTACAATGTTTTTTACTCTTTATTTAAAGATTAAATTCAAATCAACACTTGCATACTTTAAGGATGAGTCACACTGGGTATTGTGTTGTTTCTATTTGATTCTTTATAGCACTTATCTAGCATCCATCCATTTACCAATCGACTTTTACAGTCCAGGAGTCAGAGTATTCAATGCCTAAAAATTTTAAGGAACACATTTACATAACTGTTCCACAATTTAAGGAAATCATATGCCCATTTTATCAATGGAATAGGGAAAAAAAACCATCACCACACTAAGGTACCTGTACCTGTCATATAAGAGTATATGGTACACCAGAAATCTATAATGGCAACATCATCTAACAGCACATCCTTCTAGCCATGAGACCAGCTCCATGCCTTTGGGAAACAGCATCTGCATATTACTTTAATTAGGCTTTTGTACTGCAGACTAATGAATTTCTCTCAAGACATGCCCTTCTAGTCATCTCCTCAAGGATATGAACGTTAAAGTTTTCTTTCTCCAGTTTTATCTAGAGATTTTTACCTTTTTTTAATCACTAGAGCCTGGATTCACATTAACAGTAATGTGTGCCACGGTGAGTATTTAATTTATGCATATTAACTATTTATAGGTTATTGCTAATGCTACTTGTGTAATGTTTACTTTGATCCACATATTGCATATTCCACTGATCTGCTCAACAAAGTTAAAAATTAATTACAATACTAAGGTAGAAGGAAGCCTACTTAAAGCTGATATCAATATGACATAGAAAGTTATGTACTCTTGAGTCAAAGCTATGTAGAGGTTCTTACTTTAAAAAAAAAACTAAACACAGGCACACTCTTTAGAAAGCTACAACTTTCTGTATAACCCTTTTTATCATAGTTTCCTTTAAATTTAAGGTATTTGCATACCTTTCTACAACCTTATACCTGCATCACAGAACACAACACCACACAGCACAGAGAGGTCTAAGGCCAATCTTCCAGTGCTAGCTAAATGACCAAGGAATAATTAGAGAACTCTGCATGCTCAACCATTTATATGCAAATAATCAGAGAGCTCAGAACAACAGATGGATGGTACCTTAGTAGTACCAGATCATTGAGAAGACACACTCAATATTTCTCTACCTATAAATTACAGCTTTTTGAAGATACTTTGCTTGATGGGTATGCTCTGTAAGTATATTTTACAATTTTACTGTTTGCAATACAGTTTTCTAGTTAACCACTCCAACACAGATTGTAAACACTGCTGTGGCAAAACACTTTCAGAAATTACATATTTATTGTATATTTCAAAAAGCAGGAGACACCAAGCTGCATAAAAGAAATGTTTGGCCTTTTTATTTTAAATAAACTTGTTGATTTAATTTTGTGGTACTTGTTTAATACTGGTAGTAACTAGCAGTTCCAGGATATTACGCCATTAAAACAGCAACCTTTTGGTTCAATAAGTAAATTTAAATAATTGCAATCTCAAACGTCATTATGCAGGATTGCCTCAGTAGCATAATCTTTGCTTTTGAGGTTTCTGAAACTGGGTTTGTAGAAAAACTTTTTGGTTTAAACCTATGCACACAGTCTTACAGGCAGAAAAGTTATTTTTAGAAGCAGAAACTAGAAAGAAGAAAGTGGCAAAGGAAAAGGGGTTATATTAGAAAACCTCTTGCTTGCTTGCTTATTTGAACAATTAACACATTTTTGATCTCCTAAATTTCACTGACAAAAACCAGTTGACTTCCAACTCTGGTACATACAGTTAAGCAAGTGTTCATATTTTAAATCATATAGTTACAGTTCAAATTTTTTAAAATAGTGAAAACACCTTTTTCCAATTAATTTATATGGTGCTAAACCAATGCTCTCATTAGAGCCATTTTGCATACAGCAATTACTGAACAGCATGAACTGCAACAAAGCTCTGCTACAGTTTGGAGCAGGACACGCAGCAGGTTTGCCACATGTTTACGGTAGAATCCCTATATTTACATCCCTGCCTAACACAAACCAATGTAAAAGATGGGGGACAACCTTCCTGACAACTTTCCTACCCAGCGCTGGGAAACATTCTCCCGTCTCTCAGCCCTTTCGTACAGAGGAAATGGCAGAAACCCCCTAAAATAACACTCATAATACAAAGAACAAAACACAAAACGCAAGGGCAGAAATTATACAGCTCCTTTAGGGGGAGATTATTGGGGACTGCTACAGTGAGAAATATCATTGCAGATGCCAGGGAGCCATAATAGCTACTCAAAAAGCATGATTCCACAAGTCTATCTGCTCTTGAGAATGGGTATACTGAACCAGAACAGGATTCTGTTTTCAGAATTTGCACTTCCAAATAAAAAGGGAAATAGTGACCTTACAAAGCCAACTGTCCTTCCCCAAGGCAGATGGTCACTACTGAGGTCCTGTATTACACAGGCACACAGTGAAGACTAAGACCTAAGATTAACAAAACAAAGGATTTGACATAGTTAACTCCTGACTGACAAATAATAAATTTTGCTCTATGACTGCAATGAATATTGATTTACAATATTTCCACTCCCAGAAGCTCATGCCTTCTGTGACTTAAATCTGTAGTGTTCTAAAATGAGATTTGTTTTTAAATGCATATAGAATTAAAAAGGAATGATTGTTATAAAAACTGCATCTGACATGAATGTACAGTATTTAATGTATATATAAGAATATCTTCCTTGCTACCTGTATATGCATATATATACAGAGACTCAAGTGCTCTTTCTAAAAAAAATCCCTAAAATTCAAGTTTTTCCTTAATTTTTTGAACACGTTTTTTGTTGTTTCAGCAAGTTTATCCTGATGGATAAATAAAGAATTATTTTATTTTTAAAAAGTTGTGAAATTAAATAATTATCTTCAGAACAACATATGAAGATTGATTTAAAGGACAGCAATTAATATGCAATTAGATTATTTTTAATAGTAAATAAAATACTAAGAAAAATTAAGTTTTTATGGAAAATCACCTGTGATTGTTCCAACTCTGCTTTGTTTAATTTGATGCCGAGTATGTCAGCAGCAATTCTCTGAAAACACAGGAAGACCTATGGAAAAAAAATAAATTGCATTTAAATGATTAAAACCAGACATCCTTGAGGTTCTTTCAAATATATCAAACCATACTTGAACTGTAAACAATGAGATATACAAAATTATGACCTGTGCAAAGCAGATCTGAAAATAACCTCATCTGGTACTTTCAATTTTGTTTAAAAATTTGAGAAAATAACTCAACAATGGTACAAGGAATGAACAGTATGCTGGATTGTTAAGCAACACTTCTACTCTGCCTCCAGAGACCTAAGTTTAAACAAGCTTTTACACAACCCACCTCTCAAATACTACTCTCAGTGCTATAAAATATGAATAAGGGTATTCACTAATGTTTAGCACAAAAATATATTACTAGTGTGTTGTGCAATAGAGAAGTTGATTTCTGAAATTTAGAACAACAGAACGGTGCATCAACATCACCAAAATCTCTACTACACACATTTTAAAAAACAAAATCATGAAAGACTTCTGAAGAGTCTTACAAAACATTATTTACACTGAACAGAGGTATTTAGAACAAACAAGATGTAGTACAGCCTGCAGCAGCAATGTCGCAGAGTTAGACTCTGGACATTTAATACATAATATTGGGTGACAATGCTATCTTAAATAACTCCTTTAATTCATCTCAAGGCACTCCACCTATCTACCTGTTTAGGCAACTGCATTTTAAATGAGATTAAAGAAAACAACAGATGTTCAAGAGGAGCAGCTTAAGCTTGCACTGCTGCTGAACACTTATTGTCAAGCTACACGTTATATTTTATCTATTGGGCTGTTCGTCTGAGCTCACGATCTAAACTACTAACAAACATTGGTTTTCGTCACACCCAAAAGGTAAAGCCTGTGTATGTGTTCTCAGTCATTTTCCAATTTTGAGAGAAAATTCTGTAAATAACATTTTCACAATCTCTTATACCCAAGATGGAAACCAGTAACAAATTAGTGGCACAATCAACAAACTCTGGTAGCTTCCAAAACAATTTCTCTTCCTCTGAACTACATGGTCTAGTACTGGTCTGTTCTACTAACATCCACACAACATGAGAGGAAATACTGAACAGAAACTCTGTGGTCCAGAGACCTCCTTTAACCCACACCAAGATCTCAGGTGTTCTGAGATGCATCACCTGCCCTGAAGACACTTAGTGCACAAAACATCAGGCTCAAGTTCAGTGCTTTGGTTACACTATTTGATGGACAGTAAGACAGTTAGTTATATACTAAACCTTTCATGAAAATTTTTCTCCCCCGAGGAGACTTTTGGGCTTTCATATGTACATAAAATCATTTTTTGCAAACAAATCTGTTGGAAAGATCTGAGGTAAACAAAACAAACCATTTATCTTAACTGAGTAAAACTCCTCTAGTCTATATTCACCTTAGCAATGGTTGGCCTCTTCTTAAATCAGCGTCTAGGATAAAAACCCCATCCTTTCTACACAACTACCAAAACATATGAAGATTTTGAAAAGTCAGTGTGCAGTAACAGTGAAGGGGCTAATTCAAATTTACACTGAAACTAAGTTTACATTGAAACTAAAAATGAGCTACTGTAAACTACTTTTCTTAGTAGATATTTAGGCAGAGATTTCTGGTTAATGCTTTCTAGGTATGTTCAGATTTACTTTTGTTTTTAAACAGTAAGTTATGAAAAGTACAATAAGTATATATAGTGTAATGCTGCTGTAATTCATGAATCAATTAAAAAGATGTAATGAAGATTCCTTTATAATTTGTAATGATAAATATGCCAATGTTATAAAATGAACTGATTTTTCTCCTTATCACCAAATCCCACAGAAAGGTTGTCTCCTTGAGAAAAGAATACATTTTATCAGATGCACATTTCATTGAGTGAAGTATTATAAAATTTTTCTCTGTTTCTAGTATAAAAAGCCTGTATTTTCCCACTTTAAACAAAAAATTATGCCAAAGATTTAACACAAACTATACAGAGAATCACAACTCACTGCATTTATAACAGCAGTAGTTATACTTTACAGAAAAACTATTATCTTATAAAATTAGGCAGTCCACTGCAGAAGTTTCATCAAAGACCTTAAAACAACAAGTGATTCCATTTGTGTTACAGAACTATACTTCCATGTAATTGAACATGGTCTAACTCTTCAATAACATAAAAATAAAGTAAATTTTGTTGTCAACAGTAATATTAAGGAGACAGATACAAGACTCTTTTATGGAAATGACAAACATATTAGGCAAGTGACAGAAATCAAGTAAAACAATACAATATGATTTTATTTGACTGATGGTGTCAACTGAAAAGGAATGTTTTCTTTCGTATGCGTCCAACTAAAACAAATAACCCAGTTAGCTCAGAGTCAAAAGACTGTTCAAAAATGCACTCTGCAAAGCATCTGCTACGAATGTCAGAATGTTCAAATTTCAATGGGCCTGCAGAGGGAGTGTTTCTCATGGCTCAGGACTCATATTAAAAACTTTGACTGCAATAGGGTCTTGTCACATTATTTAGCAATTGTTGGAAGTTTCTATAGATAGGATTCCACCTGGAATGAATATATTTAATTACAGGCTGACAGCAAAGAGATTTAGCTGGTCTCGGTTCTCAAACTGACATGTAAGCTAGACCACTTCCATTAAAATCTGTATTTCAAACTGAAAATCAGAGGAGAAGCCACTGTAATTTAATAACGATAATATATACTCATAGAAAGATCTACTTTTCGTGCAACTAGGGAAGCAACAAAGGACCTGCAGCAGCCCAAATTCTCAAAGGTTTGTTATGTGAAGTACAATAAAACTGCTGCATCTTGGAAAAAAAAAGACATCTAGAAGTTTCTTTTTTTTACTTACAGAATCTCCTGTCTTGGCTGACACAAAATGGCTACTGAAATTGTTTTCCTGACAAAATCGCTGGTGCTTGTCAGATTTCACTGTGCGCATATGCTCCAAGTCAACTAAAAATAAGTTGAAGAAAGGAAAAATTATTACACTGGAGCCCATTTAGTTACCTGTCTTAGAAATTATTCATTGGAAACATCAGACGTAGTATTTTCCTTTACAGGTGTATGCAAATGCAAGAGTCTTTTTATAATCGTTTGCCAAAATAAAGGTAATGAATTACATCAGATTAATTTTATTTGCAAAACTAAAATGAAAACACAATTAAAACTGTATGGACAAAAGCAACAAATTTGTATCTCAAAAAAGGACAAATTTGTTTCTGGCTACACTAAAACAATTTGTAATAACTTTACTGCTAATGACATATGAAAATGAGACAGAACTAAATATTGTATATTCTGTTTGCAAGCATGATACATATTGGGGATTCCAGTGTAACCTAAAGACTTTTACAAAATAAAGTTCACTGAGCACATCTGAATGGACACATTTTTCCTAAGTAAAAAATGTAAATGAGTTACAAAGAATTTTATTGAAGAACATGGCAGAGCAAAAGCATTCACTATAATAAAAAAATTAACTGAGTAAAAACAGTGATGCTTAGTTACCTATATATCAAACTTGAAATTCTATAAAGGTATGGTTCAGAAAATTTAAAAAAGTAAAATGCACATTTTGAGATGCACATATATTTCCATCTTTATCATTTTACAACCACTGAAAGCAGAGAAAAGCTTTCAAACGGTATGTTATGTTGAAAAGCACTGGTTGCTTCCAAAACCTCATGGAACTCAAGTCTTGCACAGTTTTATTGTGTACATTCCAGTTTCTCCAAATCTGATCCTAAGGTAATTGGAAACTATATTGAACAGTTTCTCTTTTTTTATTGCATTACAGTTTCTATAAGGCTGTTGACTCAATGCAGTCAAATTATAAGGCAAATATATTCAGAAGGATTTAAGGACAACCAGGCTCTTTGAGTCAATACAGGAAAAAAAAACTTAAACTGATTTCCTGAGGAAGGGACCCAACTGACTTGTAAAAACTTGTAAATTTGCAAATCTAGTAAGCCTGTATAATAGTGTCATTTGATTATCAGCTGAAAAAATGCTCTCCTACTACATAAAAGGTTTTATTTTTAAATGATATTGGAGGTCTTTAATTTGTAGGCTCTGGAGATTTTCTCTTGGAGATTTTTAGTCTAACAGCGGATTCCTACACTCTATTTATACTGCTTACCTTGGTTAATGTGGAGTTTTTGCCACATAGTACTGTTCCTTGCACATCAGTAAGGCCTTGTTCATAAGAACAGGCCTAAAATCATCCAGTTACCACAGACATTAATTTGTAAAGGACTAAAATACTAAGCTATTAACACTAATATTTGTAGTATGGTTTTTCCATAATACTAAATGTTGAGCATATAATATAGTTTCATTTAAAAAAAAAGGAAGAACAAATACATTTACTAAAATAAAACCCAAAGTCAGCAACAATTTTGTTAAAAACTCATGCAATCACTTAACTTTTTCCTCTGAAAAATAACTACCATGAGAGAGACTCTTTTGAAATGCTTTTAAGAATAAAATACAGCATCCTGCCCAAAACATTTCATTGTTAACTATTATTTTTATGCTTCACATATTAGCTTCAAGTGCAGCTTGGAAAACACAACAGTGAGATTACTCTTTTGGGAAAAATAAATATATATTTTCTTTGGTTTTATTTCATGAGCTTTTAAAGGAACTTTGACCCCACCTCCAGATTTCACTCGTATTTCTTTGACTATACTTGGATTCCAAACACCTACACACAGTTATGATAAAAATAAATAGATAGATAGATAGATAGATAGAGATAAAAATAAATAGATAGATAGATAGATAGATAGACAGACAGTATTTACACTATATTCCTCTAACATACCATGACATGCTTACGTAACTCCACAAAGACAAGCTCACAATTTACAATCTCTCAAACTCTCCTTCCCAGGAAGGGAAGAATAGAGAGTGGATGAACAAAACAGCAGGCTAAAAGGCTGATGAATTTTAAGGAAGAAAACACCACTGACATATTGGAAATCATATCCTCAAATGCCTCATCTATGAAGAAACATCAAGAATACTATATGGTCAGGGGAGCACATACTTTACTACAGCAGAGAAATTAAAGCACACAAGACTGTAGAAAATAACAGACTGAAAGTGAAAAAATCAAGGTGAAATTATGTTTCTAAATTTTGTGTAGTTCTCAGTCCTTCTCCCACTTACAAATATTGCACCTTATGCCTCCTGAATTTCAGGCAGTCTGCTGTGAACTGTACAGTCACTGTTATGCCAGGTGACTGCCAGGTGAGTGTCCATTGCACATTCTCAGCCCACAGTAATTCCAGGTAATTCATATTACATCAGCTCTTGGTGAAAAAGGGCAGGTTTAGTACAAGAAAGAGTTTCAACCGTTAATAAATATTTAACTTTACAAAATTGCAGTGTGCAGTCAGTGAAGGGCAATGATCCTAATTCCAATTCCTTTGCATTGCCCATAGGCCAAGGGCACAATCAGTTACTGAAGATCAGCTAAAAGACATGAATAGTTACCCTCCAGTACTTTTTTCTGAGTATCTGACACTGGTCAGCTCGACAGGCAGAATTCTTAGCACACCAGGAGATAAGTCTTGTCCAGCTTTTATTTAGACATCACAGCAAAAAGACTTTAAAGAGAGCTTTGGAGGAGAAAAATTATTTTCTAAAAAAGATGTTTATAAGGAATGCAGGGATTTTATAGAAAGAAAACTAACAGCTGGCCAATGACTCATATGATGAGCCAATTAACAGCAAGAATAGATATTTTGGGATGAAGGATGATATGAGGATACACTTAAACCATGAAAAGTTTAAAGGCAAGGACAATTAAATTTTGGACAGAAAGAAAATGAGTAAGATACATAAATACAGTTTGATTTTACAAACCAGGAAAATGATCTTGTAGAATATTCTAAATGACTAGATAACATGTCACTGGCCAAGAAAAAAGGAATTACTGAAATTAAGATACAAAATGAGAACATTTTAACTGTAGTAATAGGCCATATCTAACAAAGGTCTCAAAGAAAGCATCTGTAAGATTTGGCCACACATCAAACACAAACATTTAGAGAAAGTGAAGTTTACGTGCCAGATGGTACAGTCATCCTCCTCATCTGAAGGGAATGAGAAAGAAGACAACAGCATGGCAAAATTAATAGCTTCATTTTTACCAAGTAGAATATAAACTGAATAGCTAGAGATTCACAATGGGACGTATAAAGGACACAAGGTCACAAGTTTGAAAAGTGAAAAGAGATTTAACTGTTTGCGAACAGTGAATCTCTACAGCACACAAATGTTGCAAATCGGTAGTTTGGGTCAAGTACTTGAATACAAGCTCTGCTAACTACATTAATAAATTATGTTTCCTGATCATGAAAAGCTAAAGCAAGCCCAGGGTGTGTAAACTTTGGAGAATGTAGTGAGGGTATTTCTTTGACCTATCATTTCAAAAATTCTAAACTTCTTAAAAATAGGACCAACAGGCAGAAAGGGTAGTTAAAAGTATAAATTAGCAAAGCAATAGTTAAAATGTCAAAGGATTACATTCCTAATTCTTTGGCTAGAAGGAACATTATATTATTATACTTATTATATACTTATATTTGCATTAAATGGAATACTTCAACTCAAATCAGGAGAAGCAGAAGGACATCATAAGCAATGGAGGAAAGAGGGGGTCACAGTACTGTTTCCCTGACTGGCCTGATGAGGACAGGAAAAAGGGGCTCATCAGCCCCCAAAGTACCTTTGAAATCCCTTTCTAAGCAAAGGCATCCACAATATGGGCCATTGTAGTTTTGCTCATCTTTATGCCTGAAATGCACACTAAAAATCTCAAGCAACAACTACAAAAAAAACCCCAGGGTTGCCAGATATTCTCCAAACATTATCTCCATTGCCTTACTTAACCTCTCCTGCAATCCATCAAGAGCCCATCCTGTTGATTCTCTAAAATAAGACTAAACATTCACCTTTAAGCTTGTCTAGTACGAAGAGTCATTTCAATTAAAGCTAGCAAGATAAATTGCTGTTCCATACCTAACAGATCTATACACATCTGTGTGTACAGGTCTCCCATAAAGACACCAGCACAACAAAAATAGGTTAGAAAATTCAGGAATCCAGACTGAACTTTGACCAAGCCAAACAGATCCAAGTCAAACTCTCCCCTCCAAGAATAAACCAGCAGAGATCAGCAAAAGTAGGTAAGGCTTACTAAAATACTTGCTCCTCATGAATTCCGGAGAGTTCAATTTTGATTTATAGGTGAGATTAAACAGAGATCTAGTGAGGTAAAAAAAGAAAACAGAATGAGAAGTATGGAACTCCCACAGAAATCCCAAGGATACTCCCTTTAAGGCATTCCTGAAGATGTCCTGAAAATTCCTGCAAAGAAAACCAACTCCATCCCAGCCAAAACCAGCGCAGCAGAAAAAAAACAGATAAGAACAACACTGCAGAATTTAGGTAAGCAAAGAGATGCAAACACCATCACGGCAACCTTTGTGGAGAGCAAGTGGCATTTCAAAGAAGACAAGGACAAAATAGTAATTTTAAGTTAGAACCAGACAGACTTGATTAGGTTACATCTTCAGGTGATTGTTTACGCAAACATTTTCACTATCCTTCAAATTGCTACTCTACATCACTTATTTGCAGTGAAAAGCTGATAAGACAATGTTAAATCAAAATGGGAAAGGAAACTGTATTTTAAATGACTGCAAGGCTAGCTATCTATCCAATGATTAATAAATTCTGAGCAAACATTTGAGACAGCAAAAACTGTTCTTCAAAGTCAAAACTCCATATGAATTTACTTGAGAAATTAAGAGTAAGTCCCTGAAATTTCAGTTTATTGGGCAGTAGCAAGGGAACAAAAAAATCTTAGAAAGTGCTAGATAAAACACAAATGGGTGCTTTACAATCTACCCACACTCAGCCATTCAACAGCAATTCAGTCT